GGGGGCTGCTGAATTTGTGGGATGGAAACAGGAGCTGCTGGTTACCGGCCGTTTCGTTTATTCGTTGAGAATAAACGCGAAGCGGGAGAGAAGTACCCTTGAGAACACCACTTGAGGCTCCAGATCCAGCTATATCTGAAGCGGAAATCATTTCTGGAGCGTCCCTGGTGGGTGAGTCAGTCGACTTCCTTAAACACACACACACACACACACACACTTTCCCCGCCCCCACCCCAAGCTGGATCACACTTGGCCTCTGTTACTTTACTGGTCACCAAGAGGCGTGGCCGGTTAGTGAATACATCTGCCTATGAAGCGGATCTCTGATCTAGAATCTATTTGGCATAAAGCAGAGGCGAGCGGCCGTCTCCGGCTGCGGGCGGGGCCGTCGCGGGGTGGGGCTGGGTGCTCTGGGGCACCGGGACATCTTCGTGGGGGGCGATGGCAATGTTCTCTTGGGGGAGGATGGAAACATTCCACGTACTGATTTGGTGAGGACGTGGGCGTTCGTACCCGTGTCAAAGGTCATCGTGCTATTTGTTCCATGGGTGTATTTTATCGCGTGGAAATTAGGCCACAATTCAATCCGTCACAAAGATTTTTGTTTTTCACAAAACCTTCCTGAGTAGGTAAGCCTTCCCTGGAATTGCCAGGAAACTTCGCGCTGGCATCCTGACTCACTGGGGCAGAACTTTCCACGAGTGTTCATTTTGTGAACTGTGCCCTGTTGTTTTCTCTAGGCCCCACTGGCTACCGTCCAGCGCCCGCTGGGCCCAAACATACGAATTCTGCCCGCATTCCGAGTTGCCCCCGTTCGGGAAGATCTGTGCAGCGTGTTTTTGCAGCTTCCCGGCACGTCGAAGGGCTCGTTTCCTCGGGCTGGGCTTCTCCCCTTCTGTGGGACCATAAACGGACCCATCCCTTGGTCCCACCTTCCAGATGAACCCCGTGCCTCCTGGGAAAAACCCGTCGCCTTGGCGGAGGATCCTGAACCGAGATGCGCATGTGGGAAAAGATATCGCCCTTCAAAATTCTGGCCCAAGATCCCAACCCCAATCATCTCGAAACCACAGCTGGCGGGGGCTCGGGGAGAGCTGGGCGGGTGCCAGGGAGGCATTCCGTTTCTTCTCACTAAGAGGGGAGATGAAGGCAGGAAGAGGCGTCAGCTGTCCGGCCGGGCACTGTGCTGTCTGTTGGACACGCGTCCCTTTCCCATGTCCCGCTCGCCTCAGCCTCCAGCAGCCTGGGCCTCGGCCTGAGCTGCCCCCCGCCGGCTTTGGTCTCGAGCGATGGGCCGGCCTGGGTTGAACTCGGGCTGTGACGGGCCTGTCCTGTCTGTTCCACGCGGCGCCCCTGGACCCCCAACTCTCAGTGCTTTGCTGGCGGGGGCTTACGGGGCCACTGAGCCTTTGGAGGATGACTGTGGCTCCACAGTGGGTGCGAACGGGCAGTCCTTTGGAGCCCTACTGAGAAGATTCACTGGTTTTGCAGGTGGAGCTCTTAGCCCGGGGCCCGCTGCGCCTACTATGTCATCCGTAATAGTCCCCAGTGCGTGGGATAGGCCGTTCCCCTGAATGTCCCTCCTTCGGGGCCACCCTGCTGCCTCCTGTCCACCTTGCTGCTGCCCGTGCGTCACCAGGGATTTAGCTCCTGAGGCCTGTGCCCGGTATGTGACAAAATCCATGCCCCACAGCTTATAGGTGGCAGCCCCCTGTCCCTCTGGGACTTGCTCTTGACTTTCCAGATTTGGCCCCTTTGCGTCCTTTGCGTCTTCTAGGAGTGCGCTCGTCGGCTGGCACCTTTCTGCACTGATCGCCAGGGAAAGCTCGGCCCGCAGCCCAACCCCGGCCCCTTCACCCGCCCACCCCGTGTAGCCCGCATAGGCATAGCCCGTGGTGGTAGAAAGTCGGGCTTGGTAACCGCTGGGGGGCGGGGCAGGGAGACAAGTGTTCCTCGTTGCCTGCGAGCTCCTCCCCAGGGACGCTGACACCGCTCGCTGAACGCTGCCCACCAGAGGTTGTCGGGGGAGGATGGCCAGACCCCTTGCTCCAGACAGTTCCAGGGTGGATTCCCGTGACGCTCGGGGCCTCCGCTTCCTGCCTTCACCAGAGACACCCAGGAAGAAGGAGGCTGGGGGTGGGCCCAGCTGAGCTGCCTGGGGAGGGGTAGGTAGTGAAGGTGCATCTGGCCCACCCCGCAGCGAGCTCCCCTCCCGGCCCTTTTAATAATTAAATACCCCAGGAGGCAGGAGCAAAGCGGCCGTGAGCCTCTCTGCCATTAGCACAGAGCGAGGTGGTCCAGGCTGTGGCTAGATGTGCAGGTTGGATAGGATAGGTGGTCCAGGCTCGGGGATTGGAGGGGGAGGAGAAGGCACGCTCCCTGGAAAGACTATCGATCCACACCCGAGAAGGGGCCAGAGGCTGGGGGAGGCCCGATCCCCAGAGTTCACCCCCAGCCTCCCAGGCCTGGCGCCCACCCAGCTCAGGCGGATGTGCCTCCCCATAGGGGCTCAGCCCTTCCCTGACGCCCGGGCCCTGCAGTGAGTGAGGGCCGCCCGCCCACCTGCCGGCCCGGGCCTGGGTTCTGAGCTTCTGTGGCCGGACCCGGGCAGCGAAGCGGCTCCAAGCTCCTGGGGGTGGGTAGCTCCCGGCAGCGGACTCGGGGCTGGGTGGGGGCTCCTGAGGAACCCCTGGGCCCCCTTCAGGACTGGAGGCATCTCCACCCGCCTGGAGGCCGGCTGCTGGAAGCTTTTCCAGGGAGGGGGTCCTGCTCTCACCCCCCCCACCCCCCGCAGGTGTCCTCAGGACCCCACCTGCTTCTGAGTCCCCAGGGGTGTCAGATGTGAGGCCCCCAACTCTGCTCCTCGGGGACTCTTTGACTGGTGACGGGGAGTGTGTGTGTCGAGGGTGTGGGGGGGGTTTGGGGGGTGGAGTGGTGGGGAGAGATGGGGGGACGGGCGTCGAGGGTGAGTGGGGAGGGTGGGGATGGGATGTGGGGAGGTGTGGGGGAGGGGTAAGCGGGAAGAGGTAGGCATACTCGGGACCCCACCCCTGAGGCTCCTCTGCCTCTGGGCACACGGACACGCGGGCACGCAGAGATCGGATGTAGACACGCAGACACACGACACACGGACACAGACAGAGGTGACACGCAGCGCGCCTTCTCTCCGCAGAGCAGCTGCCTGAGGAGCACGGGTCTGTTGGCGGGGCACGGGAGCAGTGGCCTGAGAGGCCGGAGGGATGAGTCCGCCAGCTGGGGGGGCCCGGCCACCAAGAAATGCACTTGGGGTCAGCTCACCCGGGGCCTTGTGGCTCCCCCTGCTCTGGGAGCGAACCAGGGTCTGGGTGCGCGGGGGAATCCGCCACGCCGGGCGGGCCCGAGGTATTGCTTTAGCCACCGCCCCTCCTGGCTCCTCTCCCGCCCCTCCCTTCCCTCTCCCGGGTCAGCTGGCGCAGACAGGGGCTCCTGTTTCTGCTCCTGGGCCTCCTTGGGGTCTGCGGAGAGCAGAATCCCCCAGAGCTTCCCCAAAATCCGGGCTGGGATCCCAGGCTGGACACCCAGAGCCTAAGACGCCTCTGGGACGCCTGGCTGAGGACAGGTAAAGGGGGGGCAGTAGCTTCCGGCCTGGGCTCTAGTTGAAGTCTCCCCGGGGAGGGCCCAGCCTACACAAGGCAGTAGAGGTGCCACCCCCAGCCCCCCCCACCCCTGAGGCATCCCGACAGGATGGAATCAGCACCAACCGGAGCCCCTGTGTGACACACCGTACTCCTACAGGCAGGACTGCACACGCACCAGGCCCGGCAGCAGACCAGGACCATGGCGAGGAGTGTTTCCGGGCAAGGGGAGCAGGGGCCCAGAACGGCAGTGAGGCTGGCGGCAGAAGCGAAACAGGCTTTAGCCAAGAGACAGCGGCTGACCAGCCCCTTCTGGCAGAGGTGAATGGGGAGAGGAGCACCCCGGAAGGCATAGACAGAGAAGCCAGGGGAGGGGGGCATCCCGGAGGTGTGTAGACGACCAGCCAGGAGGGAATACAAGAGCTGGGCATGGAGCAGGTTGGTGGCTGTAAGGCCATCTGGGCCCATAGGCTTGTATGGGCTTACCACCGCTGAAGGAAGAACACAGACGGGACCCAGGGCAGGAGCCTTGCCTGTGCACTATATAAAATGTTTGGCTGATATACATCATTGGCTTCCAACTTGCATGGGCTGCACAGGCCACTGTGCTGGGATGGGGTGGTCGGAGTTTCAGCCACGCCTGCTCCTCAGGCGGGGCTGGAGTCCCAGAGGCTGCTGGGCCAGTCTGCCAAGCCCCGGTGACCAGGCACATGGCAGCCCGTCTCCTCCGAGGGGGTCCTGGCTGGCTGACAGAAGTCCGGGAGAAGGGAGTGATCTGTCCACGCTGGCCTGCCCGGCCCCGCAGGCTGCTTGCCATGACTAGAAACCATCAGCCTGTCTCCCCATTAAAGTCCCCAAAGGATTCCTGGACGGGGGCTGGGGCGTTGTGTGCAGAAAGACCGAACTCCAAGGCAGGTTAACCAGAACCTTCTCCCAGGTAGCACCATTGCGCTCAGGTCGGCTCCCCGACATTGCTTGGACTGGATGGAATGGAGAGAACAGGTGCCCTAGCAGGGGCACAGCTGCTGACCAAGACCGTAAGGCTGGCTGTGTCAAGCCATGAGGGCAGATTCAAAGGGGCAGGAGGCGATACCTGATGACTGGCCTCCCCTTGGCCAGCCCAGGGTGACTTCCATACAGTAGGCCTCTGGGCGCCGAGGACAATGTCTGGGGCGGGGGGGGGGGTCTGTCGGGGCCCATTTGCAGGTGGCTTCTCAGTCTCCCGGTGGCCCCTAGCTCCTCCAGCCCGCGGGGAAGGAGGCGCGAGGGCAGGAAGCGACTTTTCTCCTTGCACTTGGGCCCCGGGGTGGTGGCCGAGCTCCCGTCCTGCGGCAGAAGGTCTCTGGAGGCCGCGGTCCCTGCCTCCCCCCCCCGGGCGCTGGCCTCTCAGGAGGCGTTCCCAGAGGGGCACTGCATCTCCATGGTGACCGTGTTGGGCGTGCCGCCCCCGGCCTCCCCCAGCTCGGCGCCGTCTCGCAGGGCCCGCTGGAAGACCACCCTGAGAGGCTCCCACAGCCGCTGTGACTTGTCCCTCCCGGCCAGGAAGTACACGACCGGCTTGGCGCTGCTGTTGATGCAGATGCACAGGTCGGTGACATACTCGGGGAAGGGGGCCGGGATCTGGAAGACCCAAAAGAGGAACCAGTCGACCCCCAGGTAGATGGAGGACACGAGGAACACCGAAACCATGGCCAGGACGACGTGGCTGAGCTTCGCGGAGCGCTGGCGCCTCCGGGCCCTGCACTCCGTGTGCAGGATGAGCACCAGGCAGGGCAGCACCATGAGCGGGCAGAAGACCAGGAAAAGCAGGATGCCCAGGAAGGCGTCCATGTGCATGCAGCCCACGCCGGACGCTCGGTGGCCCAGGAACACGCAGAAGTAGTTGTGGACGGTGGTGACCAGGAGCGACAGGGCCCAGAGCAGGGCGCACGCCACGGCCGACAGGCGCTTGGGCCGACGGCGCCAGAACCAGGCGGGGAAGACGACCGACAGGCAGCGCTCCGAGCTGATGGCCGGCAGGAGGCTCACGCCGGCGACAAACATGCAGAGCCCCGCGACCCTGCACACGGCGCGGACGTAGGCGGCGAACGTGCCCAGGAAGCCGCCCGTGTTCAGGACGGAGAGCACGGCCTTGCTGCAGAGGTAGCCGGCGTCAGCACCGGCCAGGTGCAGGAAGTAGACAGAGAAGGGGCTCCTCTTGATGGAGAAGCCGAAAAACCACAGGACCAGCCCGTTGCCCACCAGGCCACACAGACACAGGAGCAGGAAGATGTAGTCCATGACGGCCGGCGGTGGCGGCGTGGCGATCTGCTCGATGGTCAGGAAGCCACGGCCGTAGAGCGCCGGGGCCTCGCTCACGCCGGGACACATCTGTGCGGGGGGCAGAGGGCAGACGCCTGTGATGCTGGCTGGGCCCCGCCCCCACCCCCCGCACCTGCAGCCCGCGTGCCGGGTCCTGCTTACAGGCTCGCGGAGCGGCTGGCTCCGGAGCAGAGGCCACCCCCGTTCCCGCCTAGTGCCACCGCTCTGCGCCGCGGTGTCGCAGAGCCTGCGGCTAGCAGCCTGGAGAGGGCCGACAGGGGCGACGTCAGTCCCCCGGAAAGGCACCCGATCGCCCACCTGTCGGAACAGACTTTGGGCCACGAGTGTCCTCGTCACGAGAGGTGAGGAAAGCCCGGGGGACCTTTCCAGATTGCAGGGCAATGAAGCCGCGACCGGAAAGGCCACGCGGCGTCCCGGACCTCACGGTGGCTCTAACGGTTGCCGGAGAGGATGTCACGAGGTGCCGGGGGGATGTGCGAATGGACCGCGTGTCCTGGGATGGCACCAACCCCGTCCTGGGATGTCCTTGTTAAGGGGTACGGGCTGTTTGGGGACCAGGGGGCTTGATGTCTGCAAACCTGCTTTCCAACAATTCTGGGAAGGAGCCTATCGTGAGGTGCACAGGGAGAAAGCGCAGGTGGACCCTGGCCCTAACTGGAGCAGGACTGTGTCCCATAATGGGATCGGAGAGGCCTGGGGAATCAGAGGCGGTCCCCTGGGGGGCCAGGGAGGCTCTGGGTTTCTGGATCATGGTCTCGGTGCGGGCCAGGGATTCCCTGGGGAGGGGGAGACACTGGAGGCCACAGCTGTTTATGCTCTGGGGAAGCACTTTGATACTTGAACAAGCTGTGGCTGCCTGAGCACACCCGGCTGGGTTTCTGTCTTGCCTGCTGGGTCTGGGCGAGGTGGGTCCCCTGCGACGATGGGGGAGGGGCGGCAGATCTGAGCAAGGTGGGCTTTGCTCCAGCTGGTGGGTGCTGGGGGGGGTGGGTTTTGGGGGGGTGGGGGACAGGACCGTGGGCCCGGTGGCCCCATCGCCCTTTCCCCAGAGAAGCCAGAACTCTGGGTTGTAGCGTGAACCTCCCTGATCTCTACATGTTTGCATTTAAAAAACATCCTGTGGGCCAAACACAACACATCTACAGGCTGGATGCATTCTCGGGCTGTCATTTTGACCTCTCATTCCAAGTGACAAGGCTGCCCAGAGCGCTGTCACCGCCTTCTCTCAGCCCGGGAAGATATCACTAACCCTTCCCACAGAGCCTGAACCTGACCCTTGACCTCGGGGCAACGCCGGGCATTCCTTCGTTCCCACTGCTCGTGACTCCCTCCCAAAGAAAACAAACAGGTTCTGGAGGCTGGAGCGTTCTGCCACCTTCCGGATGGCCCCCAGCTCTGCCAGAAAGCTGGGGCCTGATCCCCCGTAACAGCCTTTCCGTCCTGGCCCCGGTCAAGGGGAATCTGCAAGCAGGGGCCGGAGGGCGTTGGCCCAACTTGGGGAGACTCTGTGAGGTCAGGGCAAGCTCTTCAAGGGCGGCCTATTCACCACGCATCATCCTCTAGGTACATTTATTGGCTCAGCATCTCTGTCTGTCTGTCTGTCAGCCACCGAGCCCCTTGGCTTCCTCTTTGCTCAGCCTCTCCTGTTGGTGGCTTTGCTCCAGGCCATGGAGCAGTGCCACCCACCCCACCCCCCACCCCGCCCCCGGCTGGGGCGCCAGACCCAGAATCTGTAAGACCCGGTGCCCAGACAAGCCCACGCAGAGGGATCACTCAGTGCTTCTCCAGGCTGGAAAAAGTCTGCAATCCCTTCCTTGGAGTCAGAGCGGGAGGGCCGGGTGAGTCACGGGGCACGTGGCTGCCATCTCCAGCCACATCCCGCCTTGTAAAATGCCTGCCCCGGAGCCTGGCCCCCCTCCCGGGGCTCTGGTTTTCTCTGGAGATTTCTGGAGACTTCTCCCCAGCCAGTCCCATCGCTGCGTCCCGTGGCTGCTGCTCCACGGTGGTCACTATGGGAGGAGGCTAGGGGACACGGGCCCCGGGCAGGAGTCCGGCCTCTGCTCAGACCTCGGGGCTCGTCCCAGTCTAGTTACTGGCCCATCGCAAGCCTGGGTCTCCTCGAATGTGGAGGAGGTCGTACTAGGTAAACTCGAGGGGTCCCTCCAATTTGGAGACTGTATCGCCTGGGGTTGAGAAGGGAATTCCAGAATTCTCAAGGACCTCAGAGAAGTAGGGGGCTTGGAAGAGAAGAAGGGGTGTTGGCCTGGTGCGTCGTCAGGGTCTCGGCCCCGGTGGGTGCCTGGACCGCCAGACCCTGGCCTCACGGGGTGGCCCGGAGCAGGTGGTGCTCCGTGGGGCACACGACATCAGCGCCGCCTTGCAGCCAGCGTCTCAGGGCCTCCTGGC